GTGTGTGTGTTTACGTCTGTGTGTCTGCGCTTTACGAGCCGACAGTGAAGGTGTCACAGGTCTGTTAACAGAGGAAAGTGTATGCAGCTGTGATGATGTCATGATGCAGCTGGGCTCTGATTGGCCGCTGTGTGTGCGGAGTCTCACCCTCGCTCCTTTGGCTGGGAAACACTGACAGGTGGAGCAGTCCCGACCAGCGCATGGCTCCGAATGGTCGCCCTGGAAACCAAGATAGAACACAAACATCACCATGAGATTGGTATGACATCACACTATCACCATCATTACATTCCTATGATGTCATCGTCGTCCACAACAGCACTTCATGACATCATCTCAGCTCTGATCAGCTCTTCATTGTCCCGTTAAAGTTCTTCACTCGACATACAACAACTCTTCATTATGACATCAACATGACATCACTGTGACCTCATCATGGCACTTTCTGATGATAACGTTTACAGACCATAATGAGTAGAGCGGCAGCGTTAAGTCTCCAGACTGCCAGAATACGCCCGAGAGTCTCCACCTTATTGTGGTGGAGAGGTTTGCCCCGATCCTAGAAACGATGTCCTCATCTCCTGGTTTGGTTCCCTAAATCAAACTGGTCCCAAGAGTCCGGCTACGAGCAACTCCAGAACCTTTGTGCAGCTGCAACCTCAGAACTTAGTTACCTCGCTCAGATTAGATGTTTCCATCTACACCCCCAAGGCTCAACCTGAAGGAAGGGGGTCACTACACTGTTGATCCACCACCAACAGCAGGTTGGATGTAAGGATCGGCAGCCAATTGGGAGGCATGCTGACCCGAGGCTCCTAAAACTGGTTTTAGAGATGTGGATTGACCTCTTTCTGGTGGGTAAGGAGTTGTAGAAACAATCTCCACACATTACTGGCTCTGGGAACAAACTCCTGGAGAGCAACTGGACTCTGGTTTTCAGGAATTGCCCAGGTAGCAGCAGGGTGGGAGGTGGGTGTGGAGATATTGACAAGCTAGGTCTGAGCTGTGCTTTGTTATTGGACCTCTGTGCAAGTCATATATTGTCCAACAAGTCATGAACCCCCCATAACAAGTCATGGGCCATAACAAGTTGCTATGAAGGAGGCCGTCAAACAGAAGCCGGATCTCTAAAGGTCCCTGAACAGTGGACCACCTGTTTACTCTTGCTGTGGGTGGTGGACTCAATCAGATTCTGTTTGTAATTTTCATCAACAGATTCTGGAGGGCCAGTCATGGTGTGGAGAGCGTCAATGAGGTGATCTACAGAGTGTATGTCTGGGAACGCTTCAGGATCTTCCCGGAACAACTGAAGGATGCTGCTAGGGAGAAGAATGTATGAGCTACCTTGCTTAACCTGCCATCATGAACTGGAGCAGCTAATGTGTGAATGGGTGAATGTTCAGACTGCAGCAGAGTGAGTTTTGTGTCTTCGGGTGTATTTTCTCCTGCAGTGTGTGTTTTGTTTTTTATGGTGTATTCTCTGTGTTCAGACAGTGAGGAATGTAAACACCGTGGAGAGACAGACAAGCATCTCTGGGATTCTTAGGAAGCAGACAGCTGACTGTGCGTGTGTGAGATCAGATAGTCAGTGACAATCTGAAAATTTCTGACCCACACAGTCTTTCTTTCAACAGTCTGAATGAGGACAGATGTGCAGCAGCCTCAGATATGGATCAAACCATCAGAGCTTTAAACTCAACACAAAACGCTGAATACTGCAGCCGAGGCCAAAACACGTGTTTGTTCATGCAACTGTATGCTAGAGCATGTGTGTTCATTAAAGTACACTATATAATGAAACTTAAAAAAGAAAGAAGAAAGAATACTCCATTGTATGTTTTTGGTTCGTCTGTTCTGGGTTAGAAACAGGGCAGACGGTAAAAACATCTCATTCTAAGGGAACAAAAACACAATTCTTATTTTCAGGTGATTACACACTAATGAAAACATACCTGTTAATATTATATTACATTTCTGACAATAGATCCTCCTCAATGTTTCCCACTGGACCTTTAATCCCAACTAGTAACCAGTATCATGTTCAATTTCTTACAGAAGTCTGAATCTCTCAATGCACATTATATTGTTTACTAGCAGACATCTCCAAAAGCAGTGTCATCCATTAGTGACCAGTGAGGTATGTTTTTGCTCCCACAGTCAAGATGAAAATAACAAAAACAAGAATTTATTAATCTCATATGGTGTCTTCACTTTAGTAGATAATGACATATTGATTATGGAACTAATTTGCAGATGCTCTGGTTCCAAAGCAGACCAAACTCTTTTATGGATCAGTTTTGGGCCACAACCATACACAGTACAACTAATGGACAGACAAAGACGTGTCTTAAACCTGAATTTTATGTAATGGCCAGCAGGGGGCAGCTCCATTGGCTGCAATAAATGAACAATATCATGCAGTCTTATGGA